CCCCCCCCCCCTCATAGTTCTCCTTTTAATGCTCATATGGAAGACGTAGTTCTAATTTAATGACATCACTTTAAAGCTTTGTGAATTGAGCGCATTGTCGGGAGCCAATCGGAGTGGCTCCCTCTGACCAGCAGGGTCGATAAGTTGATGACGCAGCGCACTGCAAACTCTGCTATATCCTGATGTCCGCCTTCCTATGACGGGTAATCAACCATCTCTAAATTATTATACCGTTCCACTTTATTTACAGCATTGTGTGGTTTTCATGAAACTGATTTGATGCACCGCGATCGTTCGGGTTTAGTATCGTATCCCGCTAATCCGGGATTTCCATTTTTCGCAGGTTTTGCATAAATTAAAAAGTTATCTTTCAATGTGCGCATCCGAAGCAAACCAAATCTCTCCCCAGGTAGACAAGTGTCTGTGTACATATACAAAGTGGTTACATTGTTTCTAGCAGATGGAAGGGGCACATTTTAGATTGTAAGCTCTCGTGACCAGGGCCCTCCTAACCCTCTTCTCTGGAGTTGTGTTGTTAATCGTACTGCGGGGTGGACACATGAATATGGAAATCGGGAGCCGGTCTGTCCAATCCCAGACACGACCAGAGAAAACCTCAGAAGTTAGGCACCAGTTGTCACTTTTAAGGATCACTGGGGACCTGGGATCTCTTCAGCCCTGATGTATGGACTTCCTTTTATTATTATGCAGGATTTATATAGCGCCAACAGTGTGCGCAGCGCTTTACAATATAAGGAAGACATTACAATCGCAATACAATTCAGGACCAGATGGGAAGGAGGGCCGTGCCCCTGAGGGCTTACAATCTAAAAGGGGAGGGGCCAGTGATACATGAGGAGGGAGCTGTGTGGGGATGAATGGTTGAGCGGTCAGGTTGAGGTGGGATCGGCTTCCCTGAAGAGATGAGTCTTTAGGCATCGCCTAAAGGAAGTCAGGGTGGGAGACCTACAGACAGGTTCGGGTAAAGAGTTCCAGAGGATGGGAGAGACTCTGTAGAAGTCCCAGAGGCGAGCATGGGAGGAGCTGACAAGGGAGCTGAAAAGCAGGAGGTCTTGGGAGGAGCGGAGGGGACGGTTAGGGTGATACTATGAGACCAGGTTTGAGATATATCCGGGGGCGGAGTTGTTGGGGCAGAGCTTTATAATGTAAAGCGCGGCACAAACTGTTGGAACGATATAAATCTCGAACAATAATGATAATACTATTAATAATAATCCATGTTGTCCGCCTTCCTATGACGGGTAATCAACCATCTCTAAATTATTATACCGTTCCACTTTATTTACAGCATTGTGTGGTTTTCATGAAACTGATTTGATGCACCGCGATCGTTCGGGTTTAGTATCGTATCCCGCTAATCCGGGATTTCCATTTTTCGCAGGTTTTGCATAAATTAAAAAGTTATCTTTCAATGTGCGCATCCGAAGCAAACCAAATCTCTCCCCAGGTAGACAAGTGTCTGTGTACATATACAAAGTGGTTACATTGTTTCTAGCAGATGGAAGGGGCACATTTTAGATTGTAAGCTCTCGTGACCAGGGCCCTCCTAACCCTCTTCTCTGGAGTTGTGTTGTTAATCGTACTGCGGGGTGGACACATGAATATGGAAATCGGGAGCCGGTCTGTCCAATCCCAGACACGACCAGAGAAAACCTCAGAAGTTAGGCACCAGTTGTCACTTTTAAGGATCACTGGGGACCTGGGATCTCTTCAGCCCTGATGTATGGACTTCCTTTTATTATTATGCAGGATTTATATAGCGCCAACAGTGTGCGCAGCGCTTTACAATATAAGGAAGACATTACAATCGCAATACAATTCAGGACCAGATGGGAAGGAGGGCCGTGCCCCTGAGGGCTTACAATCTAAAAGGGGAGGGGCCAGTGATACATGAGGAGGGAGCTGTGTGGGGATGAATGGTTGAGCGGTCAGGTTGAGGTGGGATCGGCTTCCCTGAAGAGATGAGTCTTTAGGCATCGCCTAAAGGAAGTCAGGGTGGGAGACCTACAGACAGGTTCGGGTAAAGAGTTCCAGAGGATGGGAGAGACTCTGTAGAAGTCCCAGAGGCGAGCATGGGAGGAGCTGACAAGGGAGCTGAAAAGCAGGAGGTCTTGGGAGGAGCGGAGGGGACGGTTAGGGTGATACTATGAGACCAGGTTTGAGATATATCCGGGGGCGGAGTTGTTGGGGCAGAGCTTTATAATGTAAAGCGCGGCACAAACTGTTGGAACGATATAAATCTCGAACAATAATGATAATACTATTAATAATAATCCATGTTGCAAATTGGAAGACTTTGTCCTGGTTATGACTGTATGAAATCTGCCCGGACATAAAGGGGTTAATGACGGCTTGTCTCTCCGTGTTGGTGAAATGTGGCCTGGGGCATTGATGGAGTGTCCATAAAACTGCCGTATAAAACTTTTACCGCAAGCGTATTACATCCTCCATAACGCCAAACACCAACCTCCGTGTAACTCTCACTCACAGTTTATAAATCCTTTGATGTAATAATTAATAGCAAAGTGAAGATTTGGGGGTAGGGACATTAGAGTGTAAGCTCCTCTGTACACAGACTGATGTGACTGTGGGGGGGGAGGGGACATTAGAGTGTAAGCTCCTCTGCACAGAGACTGATGTGACTGGCTGAGTGTTCTCTGTGCAGCGCTGTGGTATATGTCGGCGGTATGTAAATGTATGATAGTGCAAGTGCTGAAACCTCAGCATAACCCTTATCTGCCGGTAATAAATCCTGGGAGGTGATGACATGACGGGGAGTCTAATATCTGCGCTAAAGGGATAAGTGCCCCATAAGACATCTGAAGAACAACTTCCCAGGCGCAGGAAGTGCACAGATGCCAGGAGCGCCTGGGCGCAGGAAGTGCACAGATATCAGGAGCGCATGGGCGCAGGAAGTGCACAGATGTCAGGAGCGCCTGGGTGCAGGAAGTGCACAGATATCAGGAGCGCCTGGGTGCAGGAAGTGCACAGATATCAGGAGCGCCTGGGCGCAGGAAGTGCACAGATATCAGGAGCGCCTGGGCGCAGGAAGTGCACAGATATCAGGAGCGCCTGGGCGCAGGAAGTGCACAGATATCAGGAGCGCCTGGGCGCAGGAAGTGCAAGATATCAGGAGCGCCTGGGCGCAGGAAGACTAGTACGTTTTTCATGGTACAATCCACATTTCTAGATGTTTCCTATCACATCACATGGCATATTTTTAACTTCTGAGTTCCTGTTCAATTTAACTTTTACAAGTCCACTTCAGTGTTGCCCCCATACAGATTTCTAGTTCCTGTAGCAGCGCCCCCTCCTGGTTGGTGGGAAAACAGGCGGCATCTGGCGCTATGATTCTACATTGCGAGGTGGGAGGACCACTAAGCTTGCATTGCGATTGTTTCTTTTATTTCCGAGTTCATTAGTTCACAGTTAACATTCTTTTTTTTCTTTTTCTTTTGTATCTGTGATGTATTATTCCCCGTCCCTGTCTCACTGCGCTGCCCGCGTTTTGATTTGTTGTTTTAGTCCTCATTATAAAAGTGAAGGATAACAGAGCTCGCAGGGTTCGGGGCTCCATATTTCTCTCATCTGTGTCGGAATATTTAACGCGCAAATGTAGAATTGTTGCAGAGCGCGGCCGTGCGGATGCTCCCCGGAGACTTCGCTCGGATGGATTGTTGGAACAATCGCTTACTCGAACCCGGTATTGCCGCCGCGCCGGCATTGATTGGGGAATATGCGTTTTTATACGGGCCGAGTACAATTAAGATGAAACCTCCCAGGGCTCTAAAAAATGTCGCTGGCGGGTCAAGGTTCTTTCACGCTGGAAGATGAATGTCACAGCGTGCTGCCATTCTGCGGTAGATTTGTTAACACGCTCAGGCAAATGAAATCCGCTTCTGGTTTCATATCATTGAGATTCTTAACGGCTTTCTCCTGGTATACGGAGAGAAAAGCAGACTGGAGAGGCCGAGGTGTTTACTGAGAGAACCCTCCAATCTCATATAATCTCCAACATGCACATTTCATTTCCAAGGTCATTTTTATATTCTTGTTTAAAGGAGAACTAGCGTCCTCCCGTCTCCCAAAGCCCCTGAGGCTACAGCTCGCGGTATACTGAGACGCCGCAGCCGGGACGGATCCCGACATTACTGTCTGGATCCACCCAGCTGCGTGAGTGACAGCTGGCTCTGCCTATCAAGAGGCAGAGCTGGCTGGGCCCGCCCACTCCCCCGTCCGTTCCGCCAGTCAGCGCTGGAGGATCGGACAGGGGATGGGTGGGGGTGGAATCCCTGCAGGAAGCCGTGAGTGACTGCTCTCTGCACGGATAGATCGAGAAGTGAGCGAGCGCCAGTATGCGTTCGCTCACTTCCTGATCTACTGAGCCGACCTGTGACAGTCTCATTGTCGCAGGTCGGCTCAGATTATGAGGAGGAGTGAAAATTACTCGCCTCATAGTTCTCCTTTTAGATCTGCAGATGTCATTTAAATGAATCCCCGGTGATCCTGCCATGGAGGTCCTTGTTCACACACTTCTGTGTTCTGTCTCATCATTGGGCTCCTATGTTGTCCCCCTGTCCCATCTCGTCTTCTCAGTCGTGAAATAAGAAAGTGGAAATTGTATTTTATTAAAAGAATAAAGATTTGGATTGTTTCTGAAGCACCATAAATGTCGTTCAGTTAGAGGGAACATCCACTGTAATGAGAGCACATGTAGGACAAAGCATCAGGTTCAATGTAAAGCCCAACTCCGGACTCGAGACAAAAAGCCTCCGCTCTAAGGTTCTCCCGGCCGCTGTCACAAAGGTGCCTCCTCTATATACAATGTAGGAATAGTGCCCCATCATTGGTGTCAGTCTAGGAATAGGGCTCCATCATTGGTGTCAGTGGGGGGAATAGTGCTCCATCATTGGTGTCAGTGGGGGGAATAGTGCCCCATCATTGGTGTCAGTGGGGGGAATAGTGCCCCATCATTGGTGTCAGTGGG